TGTGTTTTAAACCATCAGCTGAACAAACTACGTGTTGTGTGTGTTTTAAACCATCAGCTGAACAAACTACGTGTTGTGTGTGTTTTAAACCATCAGCTGAATAAATTAAGTGTTGTGTGTGTTTTAAACCATCAACTGAACAAACTACATGTTGTGTGTGTTTTAAACCATCAGCTGAACAAACTACGTGTTGTGTGTGTTTTAAACCATCAGCTGAATAAACTACATAGTTACTTGGAATTTCAAAGCCAAATAAAATTTCATTTAGCCCAGGTATAAAAAGGCAGTTACCTAGTTTAATGCATTCAGAACATTTAAGAAGCATGCTAAGAAAACATTAGTCTCCTTCCCCATCAGTGGTTTATTGGTAAGTTTGAAGACTTTTAACGCTAAAAACCAGGTTTCGATACCCGCGGTGGACACAGAATAGACAAATAATTCTGTAGCAAAACGAACAAAGCAAACATTAAAGTGAAATAAATGTAATTTAAAAATAATAAAAATCAGGACAATATAAACACTTCCGTAATGATTTTAATCCCAACTAGTTTGGGGTCGGCTGGTATTTTTTTTTTTATCCCAAGAGTGTTTGTTTACACCCGGGTGGCTAGCCCAGACGGCAACCATATATGACGAGGCATGTTCGGTGACCTTCTGATAGCGAGTCGAGCACCCCTAACGCCATTCTTCCTGTAACAGATAAATTTCGAACAAAAGTTAAGGGAGCGTGTATAAGACGCGTTCAGAAAATAAAAGTTTTAAAGTTTGACACTGTATAGCGCTGTGTCAACTCGGTTGTTTTGCACGCAGTTTTTCGAAAAATGTAGTTTCTTTGAAAAGGCTTGTCTCGCGCTCTATTTTGTATTGTGAAAATGAGCTGTGTTCAGTACAAGCTAACTACATACATCAGAACCAAAAAAAGATACCTTGGTAGATAACACTAGTCGACAAAATCGAACACACACACTTTTCTAGACTAGTTTTGCACGCTGATTTCAAATCTGTTTTCGGATTTATTCTAGCACATCTAGTTATCGAAATACGACTGCTGTTAATTTTATCAAAATTTAGGTAATAATCACACAATTAGGCTATTTAACGTTACAACTTTATTCATTTTTCAGTATAATTCCCTTTAAAATTTGATCGGTCTCATCACGAAAACTTGACGTGCTGGAGGAAAACCAAAAACAGATTTGGAATCAGCGTTCCAAGAGCTATCTTGTCCACCTAAAATCACGTCTGATTAAAATGACTTGTTGACTAGTGTAATGTAGGTAATGTTATAATTAGGCCTAACTTTGTAATTTATTTGAAGTATTTAATCGGTTTGAGATTTCAAGCAATTCCTAAAACTGAAGAATTTCTGAGTTCATTAGAGTAAGAAACATTAAACAATGGCTTATAAAAGTAGCGTTAAGATGCTACTGTTTGTTATACCCCAGCAGGCTTAATGAGCTCTAGTATTGAGCGAAACGCGTCGTTGGCAATGAATATGACGATATTGCGTGGTTGAAACAATATTACAACCTCGTCTTTCCAGAAACGAATAAAGAATGTAGATATAAATATACAATACGCCTAACACTTGTAATTACGTATGACAAAGTCGTGATTTTAAGAAAACACGTTGGTCCAAAAAAGCGCTTTCGAACGGTGAGCCATTCTTCATTAGTGTAGGGTTTTGTATTTTTGTCTTGTGACTCCTATAATTTTGACTATATTAATATATATTACTCAAAGAAGAGTTTCGCGAAATTGTGTTTTGTCGTTTATTTAGAGACAGCTTAGTAATAACTTTAATAACGTACACAACGCCCATCTTAGGTATATAGTGAAGTATATGTGTTTAATAACGTAAACAACGCCAATAGATTGTATAAAAATGGATTTCTTCATGTGTAGTCAAAGCTGGTATTTCAGTCTCGTATTTGCGTCTCCGTTTATGGCTAGAATTTCTGGAAGACACGAAACTTGTGGTTTTGTTTATTATTATTATTATTATTATTGAGATGACTGCGTGTAAGAAGTAGCCTAACTAGATTTTGAGTTGAACTTCTAAATAGATAACTGGGTTTGTTCGCAGGTGCTGATGTGTAGGCTAATTTTAGTGGGCACAAGATAATGATACAAAGTAAAATATTTTACTCAGAACCGTAACTGGTTATTCAGGGTTAAATGCTTTACGTCATTGGTGTGCTTTTTTTTCCGGCTGTATTTATGTATGTTAATAAATAGGGATTATTATAAAAAATACTAGAACTAATGCCGATATCTAAACAAGGTGCATGTGCGTCGTCTGCTGTAATCTTTTAGTCATGACAAAAAACAAACCACCCGTTTTTGTCTGTAATACTGTTACGCTCAGATAGCATGTTTACATGGAAAAATGTTGAGAGACCACAGTTCTCTCCTGATGTTCTGACAAACCGACCTTGGCGAACAGGGTGTACTGGACTTAATATATTTAGTGTTGGTGTGTTGAGAAAACGTAGTTATCTTCAGAAATGTGGTCAAAGCCTGTCGCGTGTTTATTTGTTCTTCGAGCAAAGACGAAGTAACGATTAAGTCAATTAATTAAGTCAATTTCCTACGATACAAAATGTGGTGACGCTCTTGTGAACGTAATATTACATCACA